GTAACATGGGTCCGCATGCTTGTAAAGTAGGCAGACTATAAAGCAAAACTCCTTTCACCACCCTCACCTCCCCCTTTGGACAGTCTGATGCATATTTTTTCAGAGCACTTTCTATGCATTTACATACACACATATAGATCTTTATAGTTCTTTTTATAAAAATGAGATCATATTTGCTTTTTCCCCCTCATATATCTTGGAAATATATATATATATATATATATATGTATATATATATATGCAAGCAAAGTAAATCTATTGCTCTCTTTTGAATGGCTGAATAGTATTTTGGTAACAGGTTTATTGAGACCATGCAATTTATCTATTTAAAGTGTGCACTTAATGGTTTTTAGTATATTTACAAAGTTGTGCAACCATTACCATAATAACTTTGAGAATATTTTCATCACCTCAAAAGAAGCTCCCGTATCCTTCAGCCTTCACCCCTTACCTCCCATTCCTCTCATTCCTAAATAATCTGCTAAAATGATCTGCTTTCTGTCTTTGCAGCTTTGTGCATTCTAGGCATTTCATATAAATGATGTCATAAGTATATGGTTGTTTGTGTCAGGCTTCTTTCACTTTGCATAATGTTTTCAAGATTCATGTTGTAGCAGGTATCAGTACTTCATTCCTTTTTATGGCTGAATAATACTCCATTGTATGGATATACCACAGTTTACTTATTCATTTATCAGTTGATAGACAATTGGGTTGCTTCTACTTTTTGGCTATTATGAATAATGTGGGTATGAACATCCATGTACAAGTTTTTGTGTGGACATATGCTTTTGTTTCTCTTGGATATATACTTTGGAGTGGAATTGCTGGATCAAATAGTAACTTTTTGAGCAACTGCCAAACTGTTTTCCACAGAAGCAGCACCATTTAACATTCCCAGCAGTGTATGAAGTTTCCAGTTTCTCCACATCCTCACCAACACCTGTTATTGTCTATCTTTTTTATTCTAGCCATCTTCCTTTTGCCATTGTATTGATTCCAACTCATAGTGACCCAATGGGGGAGAGTAGAACTGCCCCATATGGTTTTCAAGGCTGTAAATCTTTATGGAAGCAGACTGCCTCATCTTTCTCCCATGGCGTGGTTGGTGGGTTTGAACCACTGCTCTTTTGGTTAGGAGTGGAATGCTTTAACCATTGTGCCACCAGCGCTCCTTTCTAGCCATCTTAGTGAGTGTGAAGTTGTACCTCATTGTTTTGATTTGCACTTCTGTGATGACTAGTGGTACTGAGCATCTTTTCATATGCTTGTTTATCATTTGTATATCTTCTTTGGAGAAACATCTGTTCAATCCTTTGCCTGTTTTTAAGCTGAGTTACTTTGTTATTAAGTTGTAAGAGTTCATTATATATTTTAGCTTGTAAGTCCCTTATCAGATGTATAGTTTGCAAATATTTTCTCCCACTTTCACTTTCTTGATAGTGTTTGTGGAATCACAGAAGTTTTAAATTTAATGAAGTCTAATGTACCTATTTTTTCTTTTGTTGCTTAAGCTTTTGGTGTCAGATCTTAAGAACCCATTGCCAAATCTGAGATCATCAAGACTTACCCTACATTTTCTTCTAAGATTTTTATATTTTTAGCTCTTACATTTAGAATTTTGATCCATTTTGAGTATGTAGTGTGAGATAAGGGTCTAATTTCTTTCTTTTGCATGAGGCTATTAAGTTGTCCCAGCACCATTTATTGAATTGACCATTCTTTCCCCTTGTTGAAATCAATTGACCGTAGATACATAGATTTATTTCTGGACTCTCAATTCTATCCCCTTAATCTATATATTTATCCTATGACAGTACCATACTGTGTTGGTTACTGTTGCTTCATGGTAAGTTTTGAAATTAGGAAGCATCCCCTCAAATTTTGTTCTTCTTTTTAATAAATGTTTTGGCTGCTCTGAATCCCTTGAGTTCCATATCAGTTTTAGAATCAGCTTCTCAATTTCTACAAAGAAGCCATCTCGGATTCTCACAGGGAGGAATTGCATCGAATCTGTAGATCAACTGGGACAACATTGCCATCTTAACTGTGTTAAGTCCTCGGGTCCATGAACATGGAAGTCTTTCCGTTTACTTAGATCTGTAAAATTTTTTTCATCAGTGTTTTGTACTTTTCATGTTATGTATTTTGTACTTCTTTTGTTAACTTTATTCCTAAGTATCTTATTTTTTTATGTTTTTGTAGATGGAATTGTTCCCTTAATTTCATTTTCAGATTGTTCATTGCTAATGTATAGAAATACAATTGATTTTTAAAATATTTATTGTGTATACTGCAACCTTGTTGGACTCATTTGTTAATTCTAATAGTTTTTTTTTAAGTGGATTCCTTAGGATTTTCTGTATATAAGATTGTGTCATCTGTAAATAGAGATAGTTTTACTTTTTCCATTCGTATCTGGATACTTTTTCTTTATCTTACCTAAATACCCTGGCTAGAACTTCTAGTACAATTTTAAATAGCAGTGGTGAACATGAAAGTGTCCAATCTCTAACCATTGTATATGATGTTAGCTGTGGGTTTTTCATAGATAGGCTTTATCAGGTTGAGGAAGTTTCCTTCTATTCCTCATTTGTTTATTGTTTTTATCATGAAAGGATATTGGATTCTGTAAAATACTTTTTCTACATCTATTGAGATGATAATGTGGTTTTTATTTGTTTCATCTATTGATGTGGTATGTTGTTGTTGTTGTTATGTGCCATCCAGTCAGACCCAACCCATAGCGACCCCTCCTTGGGTTTCTGAGGCAGTATCACTACGGAAGTAGATTGCCCCATCTTCCTTCCGAGGAGTGGTGAACCACCAGCCTCTGGTTAGCAGTCAAGTGCCTTAGGCACTATGCTACCAGAGCTCCCTTGATGTGGTATATTACATTGATTTTCCCTTGGGTATATGTCTCACTTGGTCATGATGTATATAATTCTTTTTATATGTGACTGAATTTGGTTTGCTAGTGTTTTGTTGAGAATTTTTCTGTGTATATTCATAATAGATATTGGTTTATAGTTTTTTTTCCTATGTGATGCATTTGTCTGGTAATATAAGACTCATAGAATGAGTTGGAAAGTGGAATCCTTCTCTGTTTTTTTTTTTAAAGAGTTTGTGAGGAATTGGTATTAATTCTTCTTTAAATATTTGGTAGAATTCACTATGAACCCATCTGGCCTTGTGCTTTTCTTGGTGACTAGTTTTTTGATTACTAATTCAATCTCTTTGGTTATTTGTAGGTCTAGTCAGATTTTTTATTCCTTCCTGAGTAATTTTCAGTTGTTTGTATCTTTCTAGGAATTTATCCATTTCATCTAACTTATCTAATTTATTGGCATTCAGTGATTGATAGTATTTGTATTTTATTCTATAAGTATAGCTTACTTTAACCAGTTTCCAATAGATTGACATTTAAGTTTCTTCCATTTTGTATTGTTACACAAAATGCTGCAGTGAACGCATTGGTATATCTATCTCTGTGCACATGTTGAGTATGTTTACAGCACAGACACTTAGGAGTGGAATGGCTGGGTCAAAGGTGTGTGTGTTTAAAATGTTGAGAGTCTCTGCCCAGTGCTATCCCTCTGCTCATCTTTTTGTCTTTATTGCTTTGTACATACTCTTTATGCCGATAACTTTGATCTCCTGGAGACTGGAGTTGGTAAGACTGCAAAGTTTGTGTGGTGCATTTACACCCAGATCAAGTGGGAATGGTAGGGTTGGGAGCTGGGTATTTGGTGACTACTCTCACAGGGGCAGAATGTGGGTACCCGAAGCTTTCCCTACCCCTGTCCATTCTCCTGTGGAGCGTCCAGACCTTACTGCCTGAACTTCTGGTAGATGAGAGGCTTTTTGCCTCTGACAGGTCAGCTTTGTCCTGACTGAAGTCATTTGGAGTCTGCTGCAGAGTTGGGTCTCCCCAGGTGATCCCACAGGAGTCCTTCTCATGGTGGTTCTATTTTGAGAAGTTAGAGGAAGGGAGAGTTTGGATGCTTTACTTGCCACTGCATGCAGAGGTGACAAGGACAGACACATACCTTCTCCTTACTGTTTTCTGTTCTTCTGTCCTTTCACCTATTGCCTGGGGACTGTTTGTTCTGGACATCTATTAACTCTTTGTGCTTCAGTGGTCAAGTGTAGCTGCTTCTGTGAAATGCAATGTGAGGAGCTGTGCTGAGGAAACTTTGCATTTGCTTTGTTGGGGGAAGAGCTTCCATCCCCTTACCCTCCCATTCCATTTCTTTTTTTCTCCTTCTTTTTGTTTCTACCTGGAAGATATGAAAGGGGGCACCAGAGTAGCACAAGTATGATTTGAAAATTTTGAAAGGCTTCTGAGGTCTGCAGCTCAGTGGTTTTCAGGCTTTGCTTCACAAGCCCTAGGGTCCTAAAGAGGTGCCTCAGGATCAAAGGTCGAGGGACAGGAGGAGACAAAGTGGCACCTCAGAAGCTCAAGCTCCCATGGCAGCTTGGGTCGAAGCAGTTCTGCTTTGATTGGTTTTATATATTAGCGGTTTGAATGAGATTTTGTATGAGGAGACAAAGGGCAGTGTTACCACAAAAGTTGGAAAACTACTTTCTTGGTCCTCTCCTCAGCCCCACTGTTGGATGGAACCCATCTCAAACACAAATGCTGCTGGGGGCTGGGATGAATCCCAGGATTTCTAGGCATTTTGAAGAACTTGGCTGTTATCAGGGGCCCCACAGGCCTCTCTTCCCTGAGAGAGACTGAGTGGCTACTCTCCTCACGGCTGCTTGCCAGCCTTGGTGTTTTTTTTTTTTTTTTTCCTCCCCTTTTGTTGAATGGGATGTTCTGGCCCTACAGCCTGCAAAGGCAAAATCAAATTACCTTGTCTGTTGATCCAAATGAATTTTGTCCCTCAGGGGAGCCCCAGGCTCAGCTTCCAGACAGTTAGTGAGGAGAAGTTTTCTCAGCAGACCACCTGGCTTACTGCCCACCCTTCTCCCCCTACCCTCTTTGTGTCTTTCAGTCTGCGGAGTTCTTCGAGATGCTGGAGAAAATGCAGGTGAGTATTTTCAAAGGAGGATCCAAGACCTTGGGGGTGGGGGTGGGGCTTCGGTTGCCTCAGCTGACTCAACACCAGGCACAACTAACAGGAAGAACTTGGTGCTCCAAGGGAAGGGGTGGGAGAAGAGAGACCCCACACAGTTCCATTGGCCCACACAGCCTGAGGTCATTTCACACAGGGGATTCCAGAAAACTCCTGCCTGAGCAACAAGGAGAAGATAAAAACAGAACTCCTCCAGCAGAGCAGAGGGGATACTATCAACCCTATGGATGTATGGAGGGTTTGAAAGAGTCCCTTGTTCCTGGAAAGAAAACCTAAGAAAGGAAGCCCCTTTTTAAAGGAAGTATATCCTGTGTCTGGGAGGCAGAGCCGAGGGGTGGGAGGAAGACACTCCTCTTTGACTTTGGGATCAAACTGACCAGAGTTCAAATTCTGCATGTAACACTTACTAGTACAAGTGACTTAACTTTTCTAATCCTCAATAAATAAATAAGAATAAAAATATCCACTTAGATGGTTGTTAGGCTGAAATGAAGTTGTTGTTGTCATTAGTTACACTAGAGCTGATTCATGGTGAACCCTGTGTGTCAGAGTAGAACTGTCTGGGCTCCATCAGGTTTTCAAGACTGACCTTTCAGAAGTAGATTGCCAGGCCTTTCTTCTGAGGCATCTCTGGTGGACTCGAGCCTCCAACCTTTCAGTTAGCTGCCAAACAAGTCAAAAACTGTGTTCAGTATGGATTTTGGGATTCCAAAGGCTCAGGGATAACAGTTAAGAACAGCTGCTCTAGGGAATATTAATACAAACCTCCTAAAACAGGGAGCTCTGGTAGTGTAGTGCCTAAGGCACTTGACTGCTAACCAGAAGGCTGGCAGTTCAAACCCACCAGCCACTCCTTGGAAGGAAGGTTGGGCAATTTACTTCCATAGTGATACTGCCTCGGAAACCCAAGGAGGGGTCGCTATGAGTTGGGTCCGACTCGACGGCACATAACAATAACAACTCTTAAAACAAAGCAAAACAAAACACTGCCACCAAGTTGGTTCTGACTCATAGCGACCCCCATTGGGTTTCTGAGGCTGTAAATCTTTACAAAAGTAGATTGCCCATCTTCCTTCTGCAGAGTGACTGGTGGGTTTGAACAGCCACCCTTCTGGTTAGTAGTCAAATGCCTTAGGCACTGTGCCAGGTTTAATTGATGAAGGTAGTAAGAGTGGGAAGAAGATGCTAATAATACCATACATATTTCAAGTACTTCTCTGGGCCCAGAGATTGACAAGTATCATCTCATTTATTCCTGACAAAGCCCACAGGAAGTGGATATTATTATTAATGGCATCACTACAGAAGTAGATTGCCCAGTCTTCCTTCCACGGAGTGGCTGGTGGGTTTGAACTGCCAGCCTTCTGGTTAGCAGTCAGATGTCTTAGGCACTTTGTCACCAGAGCTCCATCATGTTTCCAAGGCTGTAAATCTTTATGGAAGTAGATCTGCCCATCTTCCTTCTGTGGAGCTGCTGGTGAGTTTGAACCACTGACTTTCTGGTAGCAGCCAAGTGCCTTATCCACTAGGGCACCAGAGCTCCTTGGAAGCTCTAGTAGGAGAGGCAAATTGGGCTCTCACCAGTCCCTGAGTTGCAGGCGGAGGTGCTCAGAAGGCTGTGCAAGTGAGTGTGGTCCTCAGGGAAAGCCAGGTCTCCCTGAGGGCGGGGAGGGGGAGGGACTGAGGGAAATTATTATTAGTGGCTGTGTCATTACCACAAGCAAGTTATTATGATCCTCCTCTGTGCCTAGCGGTGTGTGGAATACAAACTACTTTGTAGCGTTGAGGGAACTTGTAATCATGTTGCAGAGACAAGGATGGTATGTTCTGTGACAGGAGAGATGGGAGACAGGGTATAATTAAGTGTGAAATTGCTGGGAGCAAAATGGGGATTTTCACCTTTCCCCAGCACCCTGGGTAGCTGGCATGGGGTTGTAGCTCACCCTGTACCCATCACCCTGCCTTCTCTCAGGCTGCTCCCACAAGTTCACCCAGCCTCCACCCCCAGCTGGAGTCTGCTGCCTTCTCTGTCTGAGTACATACACTCAGCCACGCTTAGCCAGCTTCACTTAGTTCTATTGTTTAGAGGCTGCTGGGCTGGTCTTCTCAACTAGATTGGGAGCCCCTAGAGGGCAGGAGTCTTGTTTTTATCTTCCTCTATATCCAAGGAAGATGGGGCAATCTACTTCCGTAGTGATACTGCCTCGGAAACCCAAGGAGGGGTCACTATGAGTCGGGTCTGACTCAATGGTACATAACAACAACAACAACAACAGCATATCCATGTTGCTGATTCTATCTCATTTGAGACTGCTGAGGGTTGAGACCAAACATTCCAGTGTTGATTAAATACCACAGGTGCAGAATTCCAGGTGGTGCAAATTGTTAACACACTTGGCTGCTAACTGGAAGGTTGGAAATTCAAGTTCACCCAGCGGTGCCTAAGAAGAAAAGCCTGGCTATCTACTTCTGATAGACCACAGCCATTGAAAAATCACATGGCATACAGTTCTTCCGTGACACACATGGGGTCACCATGGGCTGGCATTGACTTGACAGCAAATGGTTTTTGGTTTACCATGCACCCAACTGGGTACACTGAAGGAGAGACCCAGTCTTCCAAGGAGTTCCTTATTCCCAACTCCCCTGTGTATATGAAAATCACCTAGGACATCATGGGGAACCAGTGATGATGAAGGGGGTGATGCCTCAGATTCTGCCCTCCCACATAGGTGCCATCTCTCCTCATCCTGCAGATGTGGAAACTGAGGTTCAGAGCAGTTAAGTGCCCTGGTCACTTTGCAAATTGTAAAGGGTTGAAGCTAGGATCCAGCTTCCTGACTCCTGGCCCAAGAGAGATGGAATTTGAAGAATAGAACAGTCCCCGTGGGGCAATGGGTACATTAAGAGTGCAAGCTCTTTGTTTGCCCAGGGCAAACAAAACCAACTCCTGACATCACCCCCTCCCCATCTGCCCAGTTTGCTTTCCTGCACAGGGGCTGCAGGGCCACCCAGGTGGTTTTCTCCTTGTGTGGGGAGAGGAGCACCTGTCGGATGGGAGGGGCCTTCCCACACCCTCCTTAACAATGCTGCAGGGTGACTCAGCCCAGAGAAGTCTGGAGAAGGCCAAGTCGAATCTATCCAGGTAGCAGGCACCCCGACCTCCAAGGAAGAGGGATAAGAGCATGCACTCAGGGACATCAGCTGGCCTTCAGATCCAGGCCCTACCCTTTCCTTGCTGGGTGACATTAGGCAAGAAACTGCTACCTCTGGGCTTCAGTTTCCTCATTGGTGAAAAGGTTCTGTGAGCTCAAAGGAGAGAACAGAAGGAGTGTACTTTGGAAGGTTAAGATCCTGGTGGGTTAGGATCAGGATCGGGCTCAGGCAGGGCTGGCTTCTGGAATTCTCTCTTCTGCAGAGGGGAATTGGGAATTTCTTTCCCGGCCTGTGTCTCCCAGTCTGTCCTCTCCTCTCATCTCTCGCCTCATCTGAGTTATTAAAAAAAAAAAAGTTTGGCAGCACTATGCCTTCCCCTCTTGCAAAACCCAGTTAAGTCAGAACTGCACTACAGAACCCCTGGACAATGAATGCACTATTCCTCAGAAGCCAATTTTCCAGATGCTTGTGGGTGAACTCCCCTAATCTAGCCTCCAGTCCTCATATGTTTCTGGTAATGTATGTGTCAGGTAGGAGGGCAGTGTTAAAATCCTCATTTCAGACATGAAAGGCCTGAAGGCACCAAGAGGTTAAACTTTGTCAAGATAGTATGTTAATGACTGAATGGGGACTAGGGTCAGCTGCAGACAGTAGTGGAGCAGGTAGGGCGGTAGGTACCCCAGAGTGCTGGCTCTGACGTCCTCACCCCTCACCTTCTAGCTCTGTGACCCTAGGATGATACTTCCTACCTCAAAATAGCATGACAGCAAACACATAGACCATGTAGCAAGCACCGTTCTAAAGTGTTTGACACATCAACACTTAACTTTCAGTCCAACGCAAGGTACCATTATCATTCCCATTGCACAGACGAGAACACTGGGCACAGGGAGGTTTTATAAGTGGCAGTGTCTGAGCCCGGGAGTCTGGATGGAGTCCACGCTGTAACCACCCTGCCCCGCTGCCTTGCCTGGGCGTGATGTGAGGACTGCATGTGGCAATGAGTGTGGCCTGCAGTACCAGGCTCAGTCCGTGTTAGCTGTTGCTGTTATTACTAACCGTCAGCAGGGCCAGGTGCTTTGCTTTTCTGCCTCTTCTTTGTAACCTTTGCTTTTCCATGGATCCTCTTTTCCTTGTTTCCACAGGGGATCAAGCTTGAAGAGCAGAAGCCAGGACCCCAGAAGAACAAGGTGGGCTGGGTGGGTGAGGGGGCCTCCAGGTGGGCCCAGGGAAGGATTAGAGGTGAGAGGAAGGCAGGCGGAGCAGTGAGCTGGTCTTCTGTTTAACACCCATCAAACTCTGATTTTCACCAAGGGCCACTTAAATGACTGTAATCCCTGTCAGACTGTATGGTGGGCAGCAAAGGGGACCCTGGCTTGACGCCTTTAGGGACAGCTTGAGAGCAGGCTGGGGATGGAAGCTGCTTCCTCCCCACTCTTGTACCCTGCACTCCCACAGTGTTTGGGGGAGATCAGCGTATGCTCTGGGCTCCATTGGGCAGTCACTTCTCAGCTTCAGGGTCCATGGCCAGGGCCTAGAGGTGTAGCTTAGCCCCCTTGCCTGGGCGGGGCCAACAGACAGGATTCAGAGAAAGCTGAGGTGTCCTAGGGCTTAGTGATGGTGTCGTAGTCTCCTAGTGCTGCCGTAACACAAACACCACAAGTGGGGGGCTTTACAGAACAGAAAATTTTTTTCTCACGGTTCTGGAGGTTAGGAGCCCAAACCAAGGTCTCAGGCGATTCCTTCCGTGAGCCTCTCTCCTGGTTCTGTGGTGTCTGCTGGCAATCCTGGGTGTTCCTTTTCTTGTAGATCATCCTCATGTGCTGTCTTTTATCCTCTAGTGTGTGTGTCTCTGTGTCTGTTCTGTTTTGTTTTGTTTTTTAACTCAGACGTGATTGGGTTTAGAATTCACCCTGCATTGGTATGGCCTTATTAACATAACAAAAGAGAACTCCTTATTTACAAACAGGGTCATATTTACCCGGTACAGGGTTAAGACTTCACACATATTTTTGGGGGAACACAATTCAGGCCATAACAGATGGCATCCCAGGCTAGTTGTCCAGGGGGTGAAGTTCGGCACTTCTGTATACTTTACTTCTACATCTTCAGCGAGATTTATGTTCAGCCTCTGTCAGTTACAAGAAGAGCTCAAGGGAAGTCAGATCCCAGAGCTACCTCTAGACTGTCCCATCTGTGAATACTCCTCCTGGTGCTACCAAATGCCTACTGTGGCTGCCAAGCCCCAACCACCTGCTTCCCAGGCCTGGGACAGGGCAATGGAAACAGTGGTCAGACTTTACGGGCACTGTTGGGACTAATGGTGGGTTCTCTGGTTTGTCTTGCAGGACGACTATATCCCATATCCCAGCATTGATGAGGTAGGATCCCACCTTGGCTGCCTGGCAACTTGCTCTAGGCCTGGTGCCTGGGGCGTGGCCTGTGGAGATGATGGTGATGGTCCCTGCCCAGCTCCACCATGTGATTGGGACATGTGGGCCTGAGGTCTCTTCCCATCTTTCCCTTTATGACCCTAGCTTTTCCATGTTTAAATTCCAGGCTTTGGGGGGGAGCTCTGGTGGCATAGTGCCTAAGGCATTTGACTGCTAACCAGAAGGCTGGCAGTTCAAATCTACCAGCCACTCAATGGAAGGAAGACTGGGCAATTTACTTCCGTAAAGATTTACCACCTCAAAAACCCAAAGGGGGTCACTATGAGTCAGAATTGACTTCATGGCAGTGAGTTTGATTTTTTGGTTTTGATCCAGGCCAGGCCTTGCAACCCTGGGCTTCATATAAGTCCTTTCATCCTCAGATATAAGGGTCCCCTCCTTGGAGCAGTTCAGAGGCAGGTGGGGACACCATCATTAGTGTCCGCTTCCCCCTCTCACCTGCAGTCCCAGGGCAGGCTGCAGTGTGAAACCCTTCCTCTGTCTCCAGGTTGTGGAGAAGGGTGGTCCATACCCCCTAGTCATCCTGCCCCAGTTTGGGGGCTACTGGATCGAGGACCCAGAGAATGTGGGCACACCGACATCACTGGGAAGCAGCATTTGTGAGGAAGAGGAAGAGGACAACCTGAGTCCCCACACGTTTGGCTACAAGCTTGAATGCAAGAGTGAAGCCAGGGCCTATCGCAGGCACTTCCTGGGGAAGGTGAGGCCCATGGCCTGGGAGAAAATGGCTGCCAAAGGAGACAAATGCACAGGGAGCCCACTCTTCTCTCCAGTGCCACTCTTTTGTCCCCACATTTTCTCCTTCCAGGTCACTGCACTCCTTCTTGCTCCCTGCTTCTGCCTTTGGCTGGGGAGCTTGCTGACCAGTCCTGCTCCTGGGATAGGGGAAGAGAGGGTCCTGCAGAAGCCAGGGAGCCCTGGGGCAGTGGGCCCTTGTGGGGGCCACCCCTAGCAAATGTTTTCAGAACCAATGGCAGGGGTAGTGTTTGGATGTGAATGAGGGTGGGGTGGAGTTTTAACATTCAAGGAAAAATACTATGTTCTCACACCTTGCAAGTCTCCATTTCCATCTAACAGTGATCCAAGTTTTCATGTACTCATTCAAACAGGTCCCTTGAGTACTTGTATGAGTTGGGGCAGTGTGAGCCTCTCACTGCTTAAAAAAGTGATAATGTTACATTTCTTTAGATATTTTCTGCCCTTCAGACTTGCCAGAGTCCAAAAGTCCCAAGGGGGCCGCCTTCAGCTGGAGGCAGCTTTGCAGTCTCCCACAGAGGGGGTTACATCAGAATCCCTGGGGCTCTTGTTAAAATGCAGATCCCAGGGCTCCACCCTGATTTGGCAGGTCTGGGAGGGGCTCCAGGAGCCCTGGTGGCTTAGTGCGTAAGGCATTTGACTGCTAACCAGAAGGCTGGCTATTCAAACCCACCAGCCACTCCTCGGAAGGAAGGTTGGGCAATCTACTTCTGTAGTGATACTGCCTCGGAAACCCAAGGAGGGGTCGCTATGAGTCGGATCCAACTCAATAGCAGTGTGTTGCGTTTGTTTGCGTTGGGATGGGCTCCAGGAAGCTGTGGTTTTAACCACAGCTCTCTCTGGGCCTGGGAGAGACCTGCTGGTCCAGAGGCCCTCTTGGCAGCTCCCTTTGGGTGAGAGATGCTGTGGCTTCTCCCTTCTTGCCATAATTAGTCTGCATCGGTGAGGGTTGCACTCGAAGCAAGACTTAGTATCTTGTGGTGAAGAACTTGAGCTTCAGTGTTAAGACAAGACCTGGATTTGAAACCTGGCTCTATCACTTTCTAGTTGTGTGACCTTGGGAAATTAATTAAGCTTCCTGAACGTGGTTTCCTCATCTGTGAAACTGGTATGATGATGTTATCCACTGCTTAAGGTATCAGTCAGGATTAAAAAAGACAATGGGTATTAACCATTTAGCCCAGTTCCTGGCACATACTGAAGACTTGGGAGTTGGTAACTACTAACGTCACCACCACCACCACCACCACTATCATCATCAGTAGCAGCATCCTTCTCTTCTCCATTGCTGTGGGACTTCTAATTTGGGGTGAGGGAGGTGGTTTGAGGGGCGTGTCTGGAGGGACCCTTTCCCACCTCTAACGCCTGGTTTCTGTTCCCAGGACCATCTGAACTTTTATTGTACAGGCAGCAGCCTGGGCAACTTGATCCTGTCCATCAAGTGTGAGGAGGCAGAGGGTATTGAGTACCTTCGGATCATTCTCAGGTGAGGCTGCTGCACTCTGAGGCCACACCTCTTTGAGGCAGGCTGCCATAAATGTTAGGGACTCAGAAATACCAGTCTGACCAGTCTGGTCTGGGCGTGCAAGGGGGAACAGACTGGCTGGAATCCTGGAGCTATGACTAAAGCTGCCATGCAGGGAGTTCCAGCTAGCTAAGTCAGAGTGGTCCTGGGCCCAAGGTCACCTAGACCATCCCCCTACCTGCCTCTCTTTCTTGTTGGAGACCGCAGGTGGCTCTGAGGAAGATGGGAAGTAAAAGTAGGAGTGGCTCAGTGTAGCTCCAGATCCTTCTGGGTGAAGGTTTGCTGGATGTACATCTGAGCAGGGAAAAAGATTCCAGAGCGTGTGCTGTGTGAGTTGGGTTCTCGGCAATGGAATGATGTTCCCAATGGGAGTGCTTCAGAGAGAACACTGCTGTAGAGCTGAAACCAGGGCACCTTTGTCTGGGTTATGATCTCCTCAAGGGCAAGAGCTAGAACTGGTTTCTCTTTGGTTCAACTGACATGTTTTGAAAACCTCATATGTGCCAGGAAATGTGATAGGTGCTGGGGATACAGTGATGAATAAGACTTAGTCTCTGTTCTCGAAAGACTTATGGTCTAGTGGGAGAGGGAAAGAGAATTTTAGTATATATGTCACAGGTGTTATCTTAGTGATATGCATAGAGTGCTCTGGGGGCATAAAGGAGTCTGTGTCTTATTTATCTCTGTCCGATGGGGTGGTAAAAACAGGGAAGGTGAAACGTGAAGGCCAAATGCCATGAACTTGTTGAACTTTCGATCTATATTTGTTCACCCAAATTGGAAGTGCTTGAAGGTATTTGAGAAAAGAGCAAGAGCATATTTTTCTCCCCACATTTTGACATAAATATAGGAGGGAACAGGAACACAGAGCCCTGCTATTGAGCGGGGAGGGAGGACAGGTTATGAGAAAGTTGTCAACATCCTTCCAATCTTGGTTTAATTTTTATTAAGAAAGGAAGCAATTTTCTTTGCAGAGGTTCACCTGGCTAGAAATCATATTTGCAAGGTATGGGAGAGTGAATTAAATAGGCGAAACCAATTTTCTGAGGGATAATACCTGGATTCCGTTCTCCAAATAGGATTTCTAGCTACATATGCCTCTGTAAAGAAAGTTCCTCCCTTTCTTAATAAAAATCAGAACAAGATTGGGTCTGATTTTTGAGTAAGACAAGAATTGAAACACAAGATCTAATCTCATTATTCCAATACTATATCCTATCTGAAATATTGTATCAAGACTGAATGCTAGGGAAAGATGCCATGGGCATACAGCATGCACTTTGATGGTACTGTTTTGGTGATCTACGGGGCAGTTAAGACTAGCGTGAAGGGAACATGGAAAATTGAGCCCCAGCTCCCCTTCCTTAGAAAGCAGCTTAGTGTGAGAATTTATGAAATTGGAGAGTCTAGAAGAATCCTGTAACTTTTAGGAGTGAGGGCTAGCCTTGGAAAATCAAGGGTCTTTCCATATGGAACCACTTTTATTGTTTTTAAGGAGCTCTGGTGGTGCAGTGCCTAAGGCATTTGACTGCTAACCAGAAGATTGGTGGTTCAAATCTACCAGTCGCTTCACGGAAGGAAGGTGCAGCAATCTACTTCCATATTTACCACCTTGGAAACCCAGTGAGGGTTGCTATGAGTTGGAATCAACTTGATGGCAGTGGGGTTTTTTTTTTTTTTTTTTTTAATTGTTTTTAGGTCAATAGCATTTGAAATAGGGAGCCAGGGGTAAGCTAGGTGTGGCTCTCCCAAATAGAAAGGCAGCCTATAGGGCGGCAGAAAGAAACCAGGCACCAGCTAGTAAGCTGGACAGTCACATCATGTACTTCATATGATGGCCAGGTCAATTGAAAACCAGACATAAAAAATTGAGCCCATGGCTTGGCAGCTTTATCAGATACAAAGGAGAAATGATCCAGAGGTGAAATTTTCCTGCTGGCATTGACTGCTGTCCCAGATCCTTCCTCATTTTCTGGAGGCTTCTGTATTATTTAACTGTTATCACAAGCTTATAACAACCAGCTCTGCAGCCTAAAATCTGGGCAGAGTGTCTTATAGCCTCAGTGTGTGCCATGAGAGTAGCCAAAGAGAATCTACCCATAGTTTGGAGACAGATAACAAACCTGAGTAGATTTCTTCTTTTTTAAGTTTGAACATAAAGAAGATCCATGAGAAAAAATATTCTGCATCTACAAAAGCATAACCTAGTGTTAAGTAGGTAGAGGAATAACAGAATTTGAAAAGGATTTACTACAGAAAGTAAAATAAATTTTAGATATTATTAACTTTGTATTTTCAGCAAATACTGGTGGTGTAGTACCTAAGGCATTTGACTGCTAACCAGAAGGCTGGAGGTTCAAACCCACCAGCCACTCCTCGGAAGGAAGATTGGGCAAACTGTCACCAAGGAATATTGCCTCGGAAACCCAAGGAGGGGTCACTGTGAGTCTAATTGACTCAATGGCAGTGAGTTAAGCTGATTGAAGACTTAAATCTGTAGATCAAAATGACTTTCCCAGTATCAGACAAAATCAGTGAAAGGAAACTAATAGCTGGACATATTTTGATGAAAATTTAGTATTTAATAGATATAAAATCACTGGCAGAATAAAAACATTCCAAATTATAGAGGAAGGTAAAACTTCCACATATAGAAGCAGAAAATAAAAGAATTAAAATTAAAGTAAATAGGATGACAGAAATGAGGGAGTATATATGGGATCATAATAAATATAAATGAATTAAATTGCACTATTAGACAAAAGATTCTCAGTTTGGGTCATCCATCCAAAAAAACTACCACAAATAGGTATATGTGTGTGTGTGTGTGTGTGTATACATATACGTGTGTACATGTATATACACACTCATACACACATTTATTTAAAAAGTACCTCATAACATTTAAAAAGAAAATTTTTTGGAAAAAGCTATAACCCCCCCCCCCAAAAAAAAACCTACAGCAAACAAATATGAGAAGAAAGCAAAGTTGTCAATCTTAATACGGAAAAGTAAAATTCAATGCAAAAAAGCAATCAATGTAGCAAAAAGGGCTGTTCTCTGTTCATAAGAGGTAAAATCCACAAGCAGGTATTTTATAAACCGTTACATTGTAATAGTGTATATTATAACAGCCCCCACCCACACACACATATTTAATGATTAAAATATGGAGAAATTTACAGAACCCAATTGTAGGAGCAGATTTTAACACACTCCTCATCACTTGACATATCCACTAGACTAAGAAAAAAAAAGATATGGATAATCTCATTAATGTTATTTATGTCAATTATACATGTTTATCTTTATATGTATCTCTATCTGGCTATCAAACTTGGATCCACTATACAGAAATTTCTGCTTCTTTTCAAATGTCTGTGGAATATTAATTTTTGTTTATGGAATATTTAGACAAATTATTTGCATAGTACATCAGTGGTTTTTCTGATGAGCCTGCTACATTAGAATCATCTTCAAGCTTAAAAGTAAAGCAAAGCAAAAACTCAGATTTCTATGCCTCAACCATTTAAAAAAGTACACATACACACATATTTAAATATATAAGATATATAAAGATACTTAAATAAGAATATGTATTCTTATTTTCTCCCCTTTCTAACACAAAAAGTGGCATTCTACAGAACAAACTTTTTTTTAACTTGCTTCTCTTAATAATACATCGTTTTTGTAGTTTGAGTGAAAGTTTACAGAGCAACTTAGTTTTCCATTCAACAATTTACATACCTTTTGTTTTGTGACATTGGTTGCAATCCCCTCAGTGTAACAGTACTTTTCCTACTTTCTACTGGGTTCCCCGTTTCCATTCATCCTTCTTCCCTACCCCTATCTGCCTTTTGAGCTTTGTTTTTGGGCAAATGCTACCCTTCTGGTCTCATATGGTTGATTGTAGTGAGGTGTGCTTTCTTCTTTGGTGTTTGTGTTCACTTTATAGGTTTGTCTATTATTTGGCTGAAAGTTAATCTTTGTGGATGGGTTCAGTTCTAGGCTTAAAGGCTGTCTAAGAACCACAAACTTGAGGGTTCCACTAGTTTCTATCAGACCAGTAAGTCTGGTCTTTTTTATTAACAATATGTCTCAGAAATCTTTCTGTATTAGTCCATAGAAAGCTTCTTAATTCTTTTCACTTTCTTTGCACTATATGAATGTGAAATAACATTTAATAGATCCTCTATTGGTACCCATCAGTAATCCTTTGATATCACAGATAATGCTGCAATGAATTATCTTGTGCACACGTCAATTTGCACAGATTAAATTCTCTAAAGTGAGATAGCTGGGTCAGAACATGAGTGCATTTGTATTTTAATAGATATTGCCAAATCACCCTATATAGGGACTGTATAAATTTGAACTTTCACCAGCTATGTATGAGAGTGCCTGTTTTTCCAAAGCCTTTCCAACAGAGTGTATTGCAAAGCACTTGGATTTTTGCCAATCTGATAAGTGAAAATGTGTTTTAGTGTAGCTTACATTTACAACAATTTTATTATGAATGATGTTGGACGTTTCTTCATATATTTAAGGACTACTTGTATTTATTTTCTGTCAACTGTCTGTTCATAATCTTTGGTCTTTTTAGTATTAGATTGTTACTTGAAATTTCTAGTTTTAAAAATCTTGCAGGTAATTCTTGATAGCAAGCAGATTTAGGAACCAGTCTTTTGATCCACTAAGTAAATCTAAAAGTAATTTCAAAAAGAAGACACTGTGCTGGATATAGTCACTTACAATTTGATAAAAAACTAGAAATTAATAACAAAAGGATGTTTTTTAAAACCCACCTAGCCACTTTAAAGCAATTTCTCAAACTGTCCAAAATATACCACCAGAGTTCCCATAGAGGAATTGGGTATAGAATATTTATTAAAAAAATGACATTTATAATATTATATATAAAGGCTTATTGGTTATATCCAAAGCTATACTTTGAAGAAAAT